TCCATTTGTCGCATGTAATGGCACTCCAGCCATGATGTCTGCAGTTCGTGAAGTGGGGCGTTCGATAGTGAAAGTAGATGTAGTAGTAGATTACCAGAGGTCTCTAAAGCCTCTACATCGATTAATCCAACCCAAACACTACTGAACGCCCTTTGGTTGCGCTTCAAGATGATCGAGCTTGGCACAGCTTTTAAGGGAAACTTCTTTGTTGGGGTATTAATGACAGAAGGCGCAAAGACGTTGAGTTGCAGATTCGCTTCCGTAAGATGTCTTGATGTAGTTCTTAAACACACTGGAGCCCTACTATCAGTTTGTATAATGGACCGTATCATTGTAGGATCTGGTCGTGCGGTGCACACGGTCCTGTGATCCTCATCGTTCCTCTTGTCGATTTTCCGTGTGTCACCACAATCGGATTAATAGCGATTGATGTGACAAGTCAAATGACTGTTCAACCATCCTGTCGCATTTAGACCATTCTCATTTAAAGTTAATTTAGTCTTTAGAGTAAAAGAGAGCGGGAGAAGACTCGGAGATTTTTTTTTTAAATCCGCCAATTATATATCCAGTGATAGACAGTGATAGATATTTTTACATTGACCTAAAAGAGATTGATTGAGAGTCAATTTACATTTTCTTACAAAATGACGAAAGCCAATATGGACAAATACTTTTTTGCATATGTGTTAAGCAATGATGTGTTCTTTGAAATAAACCTTCAGGGTGAAGTACTTCCCCAACATTTCGAAAAAAGACACATCACTTATGCAAATGCTCCCCTGCGGATTCCTCTAACCATTGCTTATAAATATTTTATATTGAAAACCTTTTAAGAAATGCAATTTTAGGGTCTATTTGCTCACGATACATTTTTTCTGCTTTAAAAGAAATATTTTCAGAGCTTTAAACTCACTTCCAGAATATATGAATATCGTTAACTCTCTCTGAAACATAGAATTTGAGAGATTCTTCTATTCTCTAGTTCCCACTGACATCATTTTGATTTACTCTTTCGGGGAAAATGGTAAACTCTCACACGAGCTACCACTTTGGTAAAATAAAAAATGACTCGAAGAGCAAACAAAAAAATTCCAAAGAGTTCAAACCTCTCGGAGAAAACAGAGTTATCTACCAATATAAGAGGATTATATATAAAATTGATTGTAGACTGTAAATATATCCGTTGAAGGATCTTAGATCTTGAGGACTTGCCTTTTAATGGCATTATGGTGATACTTATTGTAAATATTTTTTAAAGCTAAAACAAGAGGATTTTATTGAACTTTGACACTTAACTTTATATTGATATTTCGACGACTAGCACGGTCATCTTTGTTAGAATATTTATCAATATGTATTAGTATGTTGAAGAAGAATTATTCCTTCTTCAAGATGATGTCTGGCGATTCCTTCTCTTGTAATGTATTAGTATGCCAAATTATTGTCATAATACATAGTCAAATATGTATCGTATATGGACTAAGACGACTGTATTCTCACGTACAAATAAAGTATGACGTGTAACAATCTAAATAAGCTTCTATTGTATTGAAGCACACACACAATATCTATAGACTACATTATCTTTTGCACCATTTTGACCTCTTGTTTAAATGTTTTAAATTGTAGAATCTCTATACTCACACAATTTCCAAGTTAATTTCTTAGTGTTAAATTGTAAGTTTTTCTTATATATATATACAAATACCATGTTAACGTGTTATTGTTGAAGTGTTAAATCTCAAGTTTTCTTATCTAAGTACCAATTTGACCTTCCTTGTTGAAATATTAAGTTGTGAGTTTTCTTATCCAAGAACCAAGTTAACGCATAATTGTTGAAGTGTTAAACTGTAAGCTATTCATGTATCTAGATGACGTCTTATTGTTAACTATACTAGAACTCCTCATTCAGGTTTATATCATTGTTGAGAGGTTGTGAAGACTTATAGGATTTAAGAATTGTTCCCGACGATTGAGCAGATGGCTGAAACCCGAGCAGATCTGGGGACCATCAGAGGCCGTAACTCCTGCACATGGCTTGGGTTATAAATCTGCCAGTGCTGACATAAACTCAAAGTATTTATGAACACTTATTTTTAAAAACTCTTTCCTTAAGGCGCGCGTGGGAAATATTTTTATCACTATTCTCTTTATGATTGTTATCAATAGTGTCTTTTAAATATAACGATGTTATTTTATCGGATTTTTATTGGACCCTTTTATTATTCATATTTATGGAATATTAATTTTGAGGGAGATGTGTGTGGTTATTGTCAACTGTTGCCAAGGTTGAACTTGGTTCAAAGATGAAGTCGATGCAGTTGAATTCCTTCAATGATTCCCGATTCTTTTACACTTCCATCCCAACCAATTGACGCAATTAACTAGATGTTTTTTAGAAGCGATTCCATTTTGGCACTATTTTTAAAAATGAGTTAAACAATTTCTGCGATGAAAAATATATTTGGAGGGCTTGGCCCTCAGTAGTGAACCTTACCCCAGTGGTAATAATCCACCAGACCGCTGTGGTATTACATGTTTACATCTAATATGATATTGGGCTATTGTTATTTATACCTAGAACTAGAAAGGAATTGTTGGTTAAGGTATTTAACGAATCTATGGATATAAGAACTTAGAGGACAGTAGAAATATACACTCATGGACAAAAACTTAAGGAAGTGGAACGTTTTTATGCTCATGTTAGGGAGACAGAGATAATTTTTCTCACATTTGGTTATCTCGTATGTCTTCAATAAAGGTCACTGTGTATCAAATATATTTCAGAGTTATTGTATGAATCCTAATATATATGCTAAAAGGTACAAATTTCTTAAGTTTTGTCCAAGAGTGTATATAACTCGAAAGGAAAATTCTAGATAAAAAAATTGTAAAGAATAGGAAATATTATAGAGAAGTGACCTTTTGAGGAACTAATAGATCATTAACGCAGTATAAAATATTGTCTGAAGATAAAATTAACACTCAGGGTAAAGTTATGCAAACCTGAGACTTTTTAAACCTTTTTGGCGAATCAAATTTGAATATTGAGAAAAGGGCATCTTATGACAGTACAACTTACACTTGATAGATATATTTGTTTTACTTCCTTTCGTATATAATATACGTACATACAAGTATATAAAATTTTATTACAGGATTATTCATTTTGATATATTTTAATACTCTGAAAACTTATTGCCACTCTGGTATTTTATAAATGTTGTTTTGTTCTTGCCTTAAATAAATTGGTGTGTCGTCCTTAAGTTTGTAGTTCCTATTTTTCTATGTTACAATATTTTAATTATATATACTCTATAACAAACAAATCGACGCACCCAGAAGCAGTTGTCCGATTTATATGAAAATACGTATACAAAGAGGTTTCGACCAAACATGCAAAGGATTGAAATTTGGTGGCCGAATTATGCAAAGCAAGAGCTCCAGCGCATCTGAACTGCGCATCCAGCAAGAGCATTCTAGACTCAATTTTCGGCGCGGCACGAGCTGATTTTCAGAATTTCCGTTTAATATTTTAGCAGTACGCCTATTTCTACTGTATCAATTCCTCGCCGAAAGATTCGTGCTCATTACGAACATATGTCAAAGTTTGAAACTGGTCGTGCCATTGGATTGAAAGAGGCTGGTTGGTCTAATCGACTAATCGCGCGACATCTGTGTCGAAGTGATGCGGCTATTAGGCGATGTTTGCAAAAGTGGTTCAACAACGGAAGTATGCAACGTCAGGACGGCAGCGGTCGACCAAGGGCAACAACAGAACGGGAGGACAAAACAATTGTCAGAATGGCTGTCGCAGCACCGGAATCCTTGTTATCTACCATCCAACGTGTGACCGGCACACAAGTGTTCGAAATGACCATCAACAGGCGACTGAGAGAGCGGAATCTAAGATTTCGCCGACCGTTACGATGCCTACCCCTCACACCAGTGCACCGACAAGTCCGCCTACAGTGGTGTCGGGAGCGATCAACTTGGAACTGCGCTGACTGGGGACGTATAGTCTTTAGTGACGAGTCCCGTTTCTTACTGTGTCCTGACGACCGTCGCAAACGTGTCTGGAGACGTCCTGGGCAGCGTGTGGATCCTGGCCTTACTGTCGAACACCACACAGGTCCACAACAGGGCGTTATGGTCTGGGGTGCCATTTCATTTGATAGTAGGACCCCATTGGTAGTCATTCCTGGCACCCTGACAGCACAACGGTACGTAGATGACATTCTACGGCCTGCTTTGTTGCCGTTCCTCTCACATCACCCCGGGCTTACTTTTCAACAAGATAATGCCCGGCCACACACGGCACGTGTTACTATGGATTGTCTTCATCTTGCCGAACTCTTCCGTGGCCAGCAAGATCGCCTGATCTCTCGCCCATAGAGCACATCTGGGGCGTATTGGGAAGGCGATTGCAACCATCCCGGAATGTTGACTATTTAGCCCGACAGTTGGAGACAATTTGGCAAGAAATCCCGCAGCACACCATCCAAAATCTTTATCAGTCCATGACACGCCGGGTGGCAGCCTGCATCCAGGCCAGTGGGGGTTCAACGACATATTGACATTCTCAATTTGTGACGATCAAACTTTTAATCGTTTTTTTCCCAATACATGCTCTTTACATGCACCAATATTTGTCCTAATCTGGCAACTCCTTCTTGGTGCGTCGATTTTTTTTTGTTATACAGTGTATATTATATAAGAAACTATAAAGCTATACAAACAGTTTAACCGTATAAGTTTATTTTTTATTTATGAAAAATCATTTTTAATTTCAAAGAGAAATATTTAATAATTTCTAACTTTTTGGATGACGTATGAAAAGGTTGAATATATGAAGAGTGATGGTCTATATATGAATGGATGACGTATGGAAGGGTGAAAAATATGAAGAGTAATGGCGAACGGAAAAATAAAAGTGTCCAGGAGCGGGAATCGAACCCACAACCTTCTGCTTACCGGGCAGGTGCCATGTCCACTAGGCTATCCTGGACGCCTAGTGGACATGGCACCTGCCCGGTAAGCAGAAGGTTGTGGGTTCGATTCCCGCTCCTGGACACTTTTATTTTTCCGTTCGCCATTACTCTTCATATTTTTCACCCTTCCATACGTCATCCATTCATATATAGACCATCACTCTTCATATATTCAACCTTTTCATACGTCATCCAAAAAAGTTAGAAATTATTAAATATTTCTCTTTGAAATTAAAAAATGATTTTTCATAAATATAAAAAATAAACTTATGCGGTTAAACTGTTTGTATAGCTTTATAATTATACGCCGCAGTCATTTATAAGTATTATAAGAAACTATATAGAAGAAGATATTTTTTCTTTATGTCCCAAAATCTTCCTATCAATCGGATGCCCTATCATCCTAGATATTTCAAGATGCACAAGGATTAATTAACAAGAGGGAATACTTAAGTAAGAAAAGAAAAACGTCCCCAAAAAGGAGTGATTAAAATTAGAAGAGAAACGTCTAATAAATATTATAGCGAGTGAAGAAAAGGAAAAAGTGGAAGATGTTTTATTTTTATAGAAAAATCTCATTTTGAGGGCGAGGTCCTCTTGTTGCATTATTAATTGACTCTGGCTGGCCGTGTATGCCTCTTGTTGTAATCCTTTAATTGTGCCCCTCGGATAATCCGGGCTGCGTTGCTTGCCTTGCAATTATTGGGGGCACTCAGGGGATTTCTTTCTCTACATCTAGTAGCTTTCTCTACGTCTCGTATATTGGTACCTCGCTCTCTCTACATCTATATCTGGTACACTGGTAGCTCACTCTCTCTACCTCTACATATCGTACACTGGTAGCTCACTCTCTACCGCTACATCTCGTACACTGGTGGCTCTCACTACCTCTACATCTCGTACACTGTTAGCTCGCTCTCTACCTCTACATCTCGTACACTGGTAGCTTGATCTCTATTTTTCCATCAGTGTAGTTGGTAGGATATCTGTTTCTCCAACAATATTTATACTCCGCGATTCTGTGGATACCTGAGCTGTTAAGATGTGGTTCAATTGTTGACAGTATTGGTCTTTGATTTTCTTTGCGCTGTTGTAGGGCAGTTGTGAAGACAAGCTATAGTGATGTATAGGAAGGATGTGTCACGGGGTGTCCAAGCCATTCCAAATGTAGGATTCGTCTGTCAGCATATAAGTATTGCTTTCTACTTGGATGGCTTCAACGTTTGTTTTCTATGTGTTAGTAAATATTAACACATGTAACCGGCTTAGCCATATAAAATTAAATCAAATACTAGGACCTAAAGTAAAATTAGGTTAACACATCAAAACAAATACACATAAAAGGTACGACAAAAATAAAAAAGGGAGGACAAACATAAAAGAAAAAGAAAAAGAACACTATAAGGTATAAGAAAGCTAGTACATACTATAGATGTCAATCATCGGGTTTTGAATTAAAATACTGCAGCTTGTTTTCTGGAGATAAATTTTATTAAAAATATTAAAAATTCTATTTATTGGTACCTTCTCTAGATTTCGGACATGACCGACCTTCTGAACGAGTACAAATATGAATAACAACAAACGCTGTTAGATACTAATTTCATCTCTGAAAGCTAGATGTATTAGAAGTATTAGAATTAAATTTTTTTCAAAATGAAAATTATATCTGGAAACAGGATGATTCACTTTAAATACAAAATTTCACATCAAACGAAAGTATTTTTGTACGAAGAATTTGAGATTTATGAGCCAATTCATATTCCACAGTACTTCAAGAAGAGTCAACTCGATATCAACTTCTGAAAAATGTGAAAATCAAGCATCATCAGAATAAATATATTAAAATCGTTTGAAAGAATTTAAAATTCAATTTGGAAGTTTCGCATCGAAATTTCTGTGAACACAAAAATACTCCGGCTTCTAATAGAATAAAAAGGCAAAGTTTGCACAAATACGCGGTTGGAGGAAAAAAAAAACATTTGGTTTTGAAGAGGAAAAATTCATTTTGAATGATTCCCTGGAGATAATTGGCGAAGTAATAACATGCAAATGAGCTCTACACTCCATCGATCATGCGCACTTCATGCAATATTGACTCGTGCGGACACTCCTGAAAATTTAATAAAGTCAACAGAGAAGCTAGAGATCAACTTGAGGATTTCCTAGCTTCCCGAGACAATACCTATATACATACTCTCTACTCCACAATTATAGTGTATCTGTTGGATCGTTTTTGAAGACAACTTTCAGATTTATAAATTTAATTTATTAAACTTCAAGCATTTTATATATAGAGAGAGAAACGAGTTAATTACCTCGTATTTAAGGCAACAAAAGAATCATCTAATTTTCATACATCGTTCTAACCAGATTCAACTTGTGCAAAACAGACGACAAAGAAAAATAAACAAATTAATAATAGAGGGTAAGTTCCTATTTTTTTACAGGCTTTCACACTCAAAGAATAATCAACTTCTTGTTTCAGCATCTCTCGTTCTACTTTACTGTTGTTTTCTTCAACTTAACTCTTTATTAAACATAAAACAATCAATTGATTTAAATCCCCTGAACATTAATTAAACAATTAAAAGTGTCCGGATATAAGTTTCTTTATATTTTATTAAAACCGTCTAAAGCTTTCGGGCATCTTTGTCTTTTTACAAGAGAACATATATAATGAATAAATGTTTGGCATCAGGCGGCGTTTTATTCATTAAATATGTTCTCCTGTAGAAGGACAGAGATACCCGAAAGTTTTTGACGGTTTTAATAAAATATAAAGAAACTAATCTCCAGAAACCTTTTAATTGTTTAAACATAAAAGAATAACGCGCCACCTATATGCACGAAATGAAACTACTAAGCACGGATTTTTCTTTTTCAAATAATTACTTCGAAGTGAAGCAAAATAATTTTACTTTATTTGAAAAATAAAAATTCGTGCTTATAATAGTTTCATGTATATAGATAACGCGTTATAGTCTTATGTTTAGTTAATGTATAGCTAGCCTTGTATAAACTGTTCGCGAAAGAAAATTGATCGATGCAAATATTTATATGGATTTATACTGTCCTCGAAATTCATGTCCATAACTTGCTGTATCGGAAATATAATCAGAATTATCCAATATAAAGTATTAGTGCGGATATGATTATAGAACGACGTTTAACACGTCTTACCGTATATGTTTCTTTTTACAGAACGAAAAATCGTAATTTTATTTATTTTAAGGATAAATAACGACTATTTCTATCCTTAGGGATGAGGTATGAAAGAATGAATTGTGAAGAGTAATGATGAACGGACACTTTTATTTTTTCGTTTATCATTACTCTTCACAATTCATCCTTTCATACTTCATTCCTAAGGATAGGAATATTCGTTATTTCTCCTTAAATGATTAAAATTATTATTTTTCGTTCTGTGTAAAGAAACATTTGCGGTAAAACTTGTTAAACGTTGTTCTATAAAGTATTAGTGTTTTAAAAAGCGCGGTATGGTTGATTAAACAGGCAAAACCGCTGGGAAGGTTTACCATTGATAAGCCAGACTCTCTCAACATTTTTTTATTGCTCTAAGGACAGTAGATAATTTGAAAATTACCATAATTTTATTGACATCTTGCCAATGGTATAAATTTCAACCTACATATTATGTGGCTACTCAAGGCACTAAGGTAAATTCGCTGGATTGTCTCTCAAGACAAGTTTTACCGTAGTAATTGAAATTAGGATATAAAATGGTCACTAAGTTCAATAAATATATAAATTAATTATAATTATAAAATACATCTTTTACTGGATTGTCTTGTTTTCAAGTCTATAGAATCGTAAATAATTTAATTGTTACAGATCCAAGTATTTTTATCTCCAGTAAAGAAATGTATATTAAATTTAAAACCTTTTGTAGATATATTTTGAATTATTTAGCAACAAATATCTTTTAAGAAGCTGATAATTTATATTAGGTTGATTGTACATATTGCCAGACACTTCTTTCTTTTGTACACAGTTCTCTTTTCTGGTTTTTTCTCTCTCTTTCTCCTTGTTAACATCATATGACTATTCTATTCACGGCCTAAAATTATTGCATATATATGTATAGACAAATGTAAAGGCATACATGTATGACAACGCAAGTGTCCCTAGGGAAACATAGCTCTATAAATTGAAATAAATACATAAATTAATTATAAGGCAAAATCGTGCCACCCGTATTTAAAAATGGACACGATTCAGTAACAATGTCCTTATTATTCTTATTGAACTTGTGAAACCGTTGAGAAGCTTGACCGCTGATGAGCCAGACCCTCCCAATATATATTTTTATTTCAGTATGGAATCAGTAACGTGTTTTATATTTGAAAAATAAACATTCGCGCGCTAAATTAGTTGTACGAGGGGTGTCCCATAAGTCCGTAGCCCAACATATAAAGAAAACTAGACGAATGACCCGGGCAACGCCCGTGTTTTACCCGATTGAATGTTTTTATTCCAATACTATTTGTTACAATTATAAATTGGCGCCGTGGATGTCACACTTGTGAAACGTCCCGCTGCAAACTTTGTGTCTGAGAAGCGATATTTTTATAGAAAGATGATCTGGCTTTTGTTTTCTGCTCGAATGAATGTTTTTCTGTTAGAATTTTGTTCCTGCGTACAAAATAATGAACTGGTTTCACCCGTGGTCTCTGCTTTTTGGAATTTTTCCCGATATAATTTTGTATCTGATAATCAAACATGATACAGCAATATCGTCATCATCATTTTCTGACTAAAAATATATAGTTTTAATAATTGATTTATATATATTTTTAAATAGCCTATCGTCTTCCCCGTATTTTTTACCTATGTATGGAAATTTTGGTTTGAATTAGTGAACTACTGCGAATTTGTATACCAGACATACAAACAAACATACAAACAGACAAACATTCATTTTTATATATATAGAGATTTACTCTTCATTGTTGGCTTTTTATATTATATTTACTCTTCATTGTTGGCTTTTTATATTATATTTACTCTTCATTGTTGGCTTTTTATCTTACATTCACCTTGTTGGCTTTTTATATTACAT